GTTCTAACAGTTTCAGCTGGCCAGTATCACACCTAATCTTGTCTCATTTCCGAGCTTGTGCCTTCCTAGTAAGCCAGATGACGAAAGGAATCTAGATGAAAGAAATGTGGAGATGTTCGCGTTCTGTTACAGGATAAATGCTCGACGTGACACAGAATAGGAGATGATCAGTTAGGTGTTTGACGATGGCATGAGAAAAGGAGGATAGCAATGATGAGCAGTCTAACAGCCATTTCAAAGTGGTCCTTGGATATTTTGTCATTGTTTTCCGTCTGCAATTGAACTATATCCGTTGACTAGCTTGTGTATATTATCATTATTATTCAGATGGGTTACAAGTGGAGAAAAGGGCTTCAACAGCACATCGTCACTTGATCTGTGCTCTACAGTCTCCCTTACCTGGCCACAGACAGATGCCCGTAGATTGTCATCATCACCTCACAGCATCTCTTCCATGACACACTCGCACCGAACAACCACTTGTGGTTTCACACTCACGTTCCATTTGAGAGACTGGCTGGAAAGTAGTGTCATCCAGTGATCTCCTGAGTGTGTGACTGACGCCTCCCCGTTTACTACCTGGATGATGCCTTTTCAATCTCTGCTTTTTCATTCGCCAGAAAGAGACCACTGTCACATTTCATCGGGCTCCTGGTCATGTTAGGAGCTTGAAATCATTTGTCTTGCGGCATCCGTGAAATCAGGTGAGGCGGAGACATTCAACCAGTATTTGTTAACTGTTGATTTAAGGGTACTGATTGACCTTCAATCCAGCTGACTGCATATGATGCTGAGGCTCATCCGATAGGCTCTCCTTGTCATCTCCAGATACAAGTCGGCCTACTTTACAGGGGATGTGTTATCGTGAAGCAGTTGTCAGCACAGGGGTGTTGTATCTTACCGTTTCACATGTTGTTGACATCTAAAACTTCTCGCATCGTCACACCGCGGAGATTGACTGGTTTACGATGTAGTCAAAACAGAAGAAGGATTAGTTCACTTCACTGTGATGCTTCACTTTGCGCCGTTTTCTGATCTCCAATCACACCATGTTCAGCCACACTTTCCAATGCTGAACTTTGCTGAACTTCCCGTTGCCATATGTCATCACCTCATACTTTATGAATGTGGTTCATAATTATTTGCAACACTACATTCCATGGTGAAGCGATTTTCAAATTCTTGCACGACGGTTTCTTACCCATGTAGAACAGGTGACTCACAAACAATTTGTGTAGAAAAGCCAGAATGTTCACATCACAGTCTTCTTGCAAAGTATAAATACGTGCTCATATTCCTCGGTTTCCATCATCGTCATTGACAAGTATCAGTCGCATTCAGTGAGAATGGTGAGTCAGTGTGTCACATTTCATGGTGATATTCATGTTTCATTCTGTTTAGATTTATTACCTACTTCTTACAGTTCTAGTGATTTCAACTGTCGACAGTGCACGTATTGAAGCGAATCATTCAACCACAACCAACGTGCTTCACGATTCATCCCTTCAAGGTGAGATATGCTCCACATTTTCTCAGTCATTTGTGCATGTGAAATATCCTGTTTTCCTTATGCACACCAGCTGTTATTTGAATTGGTGAAGTAGGCTGTCTCGACTCACTGTGTGTGTTTTGTTAGGCATGTATATGCGAAATGTTTGATGTTTTTCATCTTAGTGACAAAGTGTGGGATCTCGCTAGATTCTCTTCGAAAAATTTCACGTTATAACACCATCTCCCGTCACTTAACAATCTGGATCAATATTTCATTTTGATTAGACTACACTGGCAATATTTCGGAGGCCATGTCGAACATCATACATCTATTTGCACTCTTCAACTTAAGTCTCAACTCCAGTGAACTGTCCTCTTCAATGGATACTATATATCTTCACCAGTCGCCATCGTTAATGGGATAGCTTGTCCTACTGGCACAGTGAGAATTTCTATGTGTGTAACTGTGATCAAGCGTTACAATATTGTTAGGGACTGAGGAACAATTGCTTACCTGTGTTTACTGATTAGTGTTCAAAGTATGAATTGAGTTGTTAATCACAGGGTCACAATATCTGGAGCACGGCGATGGATTATTGTAGAAGTCAAGATCGAGTGCAAATATACACCTCAAAATGTAGCTTCGTCGGAAACTACACGCCAAGGTTGGCAACAGACGCCTTGTTAAACACAAAAGTATATTTGTTCTAAATTGTATCACCATACTGCTTGGTAATACTGTTTACCCCGCCTGATGACGGAACCCACGATTAGGTATTAAATTATGCAAATTTGAATCTATCTCTGCCACATCAGCAATTGCAATATACTGAGACTATTTACAGCATTGCATAGGTGAGTACGGCAGCAGCTTCAGTTCAATTGTCTTTAGCATCATTGGGTGAACTGGTGACATATGGTTGACGTGAAACTTCAGTAGAATGAGCATTCACTGCAGCACAGACAAGCAGTCTCTTCACAGCCACTCAAAGTTCACAATCGAGAGATAAGTGTAAACTGTCTAACTTCACCTGCTCTCTGTATGTCCAAGGGTTTCACTGATCTTGTGAAGCTAATAATATTTCGGCTACATTCAATCATTTTTATCATCGGATTCACCAACACCTTTCTGCATGGTTGAACAAGCAACAAACAAGAGACATTCATAACTCTGTTAACAGAATTTGTGGATATTGAGTGTATTTCGACCCTAAGAAGGCATCTAAAATTATATATATCGCATTTCCAATGATAATGATTATGCTTTGTGAGCGCGTATTCCACACACAACTCAGTGTTTTGGAATCTTCTTGAAGCAGCCGGGTTTTACGCTGAGATGGATTTCGATCAATATATGATTGTACAAGAATGATCGATTTCCTATCCCCTGAAGCCTTCTGCATGTTATCATTCTCCTCATTATCACATTATTCTCAATAATTCATCTTCACCTGCCTATTTTGTGTTCGATTCGAATAGACACTCATTCCTTGATTATACATCTGCTTTCGACTCTGTACCTAGAGGCCTATTGTTAAACAAGCTTAGCCTTACGCAAACTGAGCCATGGGCTATCAACTGGCTACATTCTTACTTCTCTAATATATGGTATATGATGGTGTATATTCCTCCCCTTTGTTTACTGAAGCTGGAGTTCCTCAGGGTGCTGTACTCTCTCCGTTTCTCTTTTCATTCTTCTTACATGATTTATCTCTTTCAGACGAAATCAACTTCGTCAAATTTGCAGATGACCTGTCTGTATCGTCTCCCATTAAGTCTCAGTCAGGCTGTCTCAAATGAAATAGCTTCCTGTCGGACATAAGTCAGTGGTCTAAACTAATTGGTCTCATGCTGAATCCCTCAAAATGCCAGACTATCGACTTCTCCCTTAGGCATAAATGAGATCTACAAACACTAGTAAGTTCTCATGAAGACTGTTGCATTGAGGGGACTAAAATTGAAACTAAGTCTAATGCTAAATACCTCGGTCTAGTTCTGTCTTCTGACCTTACTTGGACATCTTATATCCTAACGATTTCTAAGAAAGTGTTCTGTCTTACCTACTACATTAAGAAACTTAGACTATCTGGAATCACCCAACCTCTACTTTCACAATTTGTCAACTCTTGTATCTTACCTATTCTACTTCACTGCACCCCTTTAGTATTTCCTGGGCTACTGAAAAGGGACTATACCATCCTGAGAAGGATGTTGAAGGTAGTCAGTAGGACTAGTGGTGTAAAACTCAGTCAGCTCATCACTACATTAGTTGAAAGCCATCTGAATACATGCGAAAAATGGTCTGAAACCATACTCTCCGACCCCCAACACCCCCTCTATTCCCAACTCTCGCCTTGCATCTCATCAAGTAGAACCAGAAATCAGTATAAAATAATCTATGCTCGTACAACCAAGTACAGGAACTCAACGATACCATACTTGGCCCGTGTTCTAAGTGACAGAGACAATGTTAAGCGTGAAACCTATGACTTGCTTTGTTATTGACAACATAATTTTAGGCTGTTTTATTTCTCTCTTATTTTGTATTCTATAGAGAACTCCTTCTTAAACATATTTAGCTACCTAAATTATTAACATTGGCTTACTTTTGTACTTTACTGCATTCCTTCTATTGTGTATCCACTGGTTCCGACTCTATTAGCACTATGAGTATTACAAAATTGTCCTGTCATTAACCATCATGTAATTATTAGTTTTTGTGGCTGTTTTTTATTTTTTATTTTTCTCGGCAACACTAACTGACAATCATTGGTTGTGAACGCCATTGTCACCACCTTAAAAATTTTTGTATTATTCACGATTACTCACACTACTACTACAAACACTGCATTAGACCTGATAAAGAAACAACCCTGAAATGTTATTTTATGATTATTTAGAGTTGTTTCAATCAAATTAACTGATCATCTTGGCGATAAACATTTTTAAATATCATTTCATAACTTCTTGTATGTCTGTAGCTTTACTGTTCACCATGCATAATCATATCATAGCTTCCACTACCCAATACTGAGATATTATTATATGCTGTTTCTCTTCCTTTCTACTTCTTGGTATTTTTTAGTATTTAAAAAAAATTATTTTGTGTTTTGTTGTGTTGTTTTTTGGTGTTGTTGTCTTTAGATTTATTTTTTTGTTTGTTTAATACTCCTTTTAAATGTTTGTAAAATTAGATGCAAATATTGTAGATATGTGCTGAAAATTCCACACTGTACCACTAGTACTGTTTCTGGAATAAAGCAAATTATTATTATTATTCTGAATTATTCCTTATATGCATCAAATTTCGCGTTGAGCGATATATAACCGTTCAACTTCTACACTAATCAATACCGCTCCATTTTTCGATTTCCTTGCATTCTCTATACGTATTTCATTTCATTTGATCATAAACGATAACTAATCGTAGTCGTGTTCTGTTTCTCTGATACACTCACACATTCATCCCTATTGCAGGACAGATTTCTGATAGAAAACACAAAAGCAACTTGAATTTGAATATTTTATTAGATATTGAATGTTTTGTTTTATGTCGGATGGTTACAACCGACAAGATAAATAAATCACGGTGATGTAACAAGCAGTACTATACATACAATCGGAGAAAGTGCACATATCCACGCATGCCTCGATCGTTTATCCACAACTGGATGATACTGGAGACCAGAATGATTGTCACCAACTGGAAATGAAAATAGAATAAAAGACATTAAACATCATGGTGCAATCTGATTCACTTTTGTGAAAGTGTAACTCTCGCCTGTTTGGAGGGTGAAACTACCCGTCATCATTATAAAATGTTGCCATCATGCAATGACAGTATCAAACCCACTGACAAAGGAACACAAGTATTGCAGCAATCCACAACGTATGGCGGGCGTCCAATGAATCAATACTCCATGTGAGTATGGCATTGTGCGAACAAATCAGGCAGCGTGTATACGCGTGTCAGGAAATCCGTGAGGCGAGATCACGGACCTTGTCACCAAGATGAAAAACATCAAACATGTCGCATATACGTGCCTAACAAAATACACAGTGAGTCGAGACAGCCTACTTCACCAATTCAAATAACAGCTGGTGTGCATAAGGAAAACAGGATATTTCACATGCACAAATGACTGCGAAAATGTGGAGCATATCTCACCTTGAAAGGATGAATCGTGGAGCAGGTTGGCTATGGTTGGATAAATCGCCTTTATACGTGTACTGTCGACAGTTGAAATCACTAGAACTGTAAGAAGTAGGTAATAAATCTAAACAGAATGAAACATGAATATCACCATGAAATGTGACACACTGACTCACCATTCTCACTGAATGCGACTGATACTTGTCAATGACGATGATGGAAACCGAGGAATATGAGCACGTATTTATACTTTGCAAGAAGACTGTGAGATGAACACGTTTGGAGGTCGGTCAATGAGTGTGACCAATAGAAATATTCTGATGGACACTGTTTATGTATTTGAATGAGTGAATGAGAAATTGAGTGGGTGGTTTTTGAGTAGGTCTGATGAATCAGTGCCTGATACAGTGAGTGGTCATGATGATGATTATTGACTAATGGTGTGAGTGTGTAGTGGTGAGGTGAGATGCAAGTTTAATTTTTCATTGTACGCCTTATGCAATTTGAACGATTTGTCTGAATTAGGTGTGTTTCACTTATCTAACAGTGCTACGATGAATGTCGTATTCAGCATTTCAAAAATTCACTCATTTTTCTATACACCGTCTAAACCTTTCAATTTGATTCCTTCTCCTTGGCTCGGTGATTTGTTCTCTAGCGCTTATCTGACTGAATCTGATCATTGTTATCCTTACTGATGTCTTACTTATGCATTTGTTGCACATCCACTCTTTCTATTCTTTTCTAGCTAGAATTCATGAATATCTTATTTGACGACTGAAATTTGATGGCATGATCTTGTTGTGTGAATTGCAGAATTCCATCCGTGTATGTATGTTTCTCATTCGATGATTTAGAAGTAGGTGATTCAATTCCAGGCAGATCATGATATGTACTGGGCAGCTCCTGAGTACTTGTTCGGTGCTACTAAGAACCAAACAACACTGACGTCATCATCGATCGATACAACCACATTGAGTGTACACCTGGACCGGGTTGACGTGCAGATACATGATTGTATAAAATCTACTCAGCTATAAGTTCGCTTATCGTTCTCCCTTAAATTATTTTGATGTTTATTATTCTTTCGGGTTATCGGTGTTACACAAGCCTTCAGTGACTTGTCTCCAATTCACTCACCTCTCCTCATGTAATTGTTGCATATTTGCAGGGCGAATGATATTTGGCAGTTTCACTGACTTAAATTGGTGTTCGTCTTGTTGGTTCGTTCACAGAATTTCTTGTTGCTAATCCCTTCTGGCTGACAATTTGACATCCAGTATGGAGCCAGCGTGAGGGGTTGTTAACAAATATTTGCTGTGACATGTTTGAAGTGCTTTTCGTGGCTTGCAGTGCACGCCTCTCACACATTTAGAGGAAGAGACTGACTCAGCGCCGGTGTTAAGAATCCACATCTTGTTGTTTATCACGAGTCAGTGCAGACGATTTTCAAACTGACTTCACAGTGACGAAAGTCTGTCTCATCTTTCCTATTCTCGCCTGTTTCACGTATTCATCTGTTCCACCTGACTGTGGTTGAAGCGATGCTTCCTAGACAGTGAAGTGAAAGAAGTCATCTCTTTCAAATTTCTTCCGTTGATAGTGAAGCCATCGCTGATGCATTTGTGAACAGGCCTCGTTCGTGTGAGATGCTTAGTTGCGCAAAATGTCTCAGATACATGTCGAAATCCCACATTGAGTCTCATTAGTTGCTCACTGGAAAGCTGACGATAAGAAATTGAAGAGTGCAAAATTTCATCATTGATTAATTCACTGCAGGCCTATTACATTTCATCAATTCCATTTAGGATGTGGAATACATGGCGTATTCTACTTGGCTGCTTCAAGACACTATTGAAAGAATAGTTGAAAAAAGGCCTCCGTAATTGCGTTAAATAATGTGTCATTAACCCGTCGACTGAGAGTCCCAATCGAAATAGGATTGCGATTTAATCTAAACAAAAGCTGATTATGCTTCTTTGTGATATTTCCACTCACTGACCCATCATTGAAGTTCGGAACAATCGACATGGCGTGCGTTATGAGACACACTATTCCGCCTGCACCAATAGATCACGAGTCAAATTCCCCTAATATGAACAGAACCGCACAGCAAGCATTGAGACGACTACAGAAAGATTAACCGACATTTATCAGAACGTCAACAAATCAAAGCGATACTGCTGTTGTTATCAAATGTGTCGATTATGAGAAGAATCTGTGTGACAGGTGAAGATTGGATGGTATGTGGAATTCGCCATGACAACATCAGGTGTTACTCTGAATATATGGAAGGGGGAAAGGAGGAAGATGTTACAGTCAAAAAATAGAAACTTCAGGAGTTGCTTTATTCTCATTGGCAGCAAAATGTTTTAATCTATGTAGTATTGTGCATGCAGAATAATACATGGACCGCATGTTCCATCACGTCCAGTAGCTCATTTCACAAATTCTCCACTCCGAAATCTCTCTAAATACACTCCACGGGCACCTTATCCTGAGAAACAAAGGTGGAATATGGAGTGAAGAATTCATATAAGTTTACTGCCGTGTCTAATCTCGTCAACGTAAATTGAAGAAGGTGAGATAACGTCGATTGTCGATGATCACTGATCATTCAGGAATGTTTGCACCAAGGATTCCTTGAGACGACGAACCAGTGTTGGATGTTGTTTGTAGCGGGATGAAATTATGAAGTCATCGGAATAGTGTGTATGTTCCACGGTTTTCAAATTCTGAGGGAGTCTTTCCGGTCAAAGATAAGGCATTGTTATCTGATCACCAGTGTCTTCATTGGCGGTGAATGAAAGTGCGACCTTTTACAGAGAAGAATGTGCTTGAGCAGCAATACACGTTTTTAAAACAAGCAATAAAGGTTAATAAAGCAGGATTTAATGATGGATTCATCAAATTTCGATAGAACTCGTCAGCTGGATACTTTACATACACGGATATATACTTTTGAAATTACATTGCGAGATATAGGACTAATAAGTAAACAAACTACATTGAATTAGTCATGCAGAAAGACAGGTGGGAATGCCTTTCCAGGTCATGTTCAATGAGATAAGGGGGGAGAGAGTATGGGAGATCAAAATTAAGATAAATTACATTACGCTTCAATTACATCACTTAGATAAACGATTAGACATTAGAGAATTTAACGAGAATTGCAACCAGAGGGATGTCAATAGTAATAGTTATAATAACAATAGTAATAATAGTGTTGAAGTGAGTTAAGATAATGCTACTGATAAAGGATAGTTTTAAATGAATCAAGAATAATAATAATGAGAATAATAATAATAAAAATAATAATCATAATAAGAGGTAGAATTATAAGTAAAACGTATGTAGAGTATCCAGCTGACGAGTTCTACCGAAATTTGATGAATCCATCATTAAATCCTGCTTTATTAACCTTTATCGCTTGTTTTAAATTCATATCGGGAAATAAATGTTTTCAATACACGTTTTGCTAACTAGCATGGATCACTGTTATCCCTTGAAGAAGACATATTTATATATATATATCAATACGTGCAAATAAATTATACGGAAATATAACTATTGGTTCGCTCCGGTAAATAATATCATTTATCTGAATAATACAGTGTTCCCTTCGTCTCTCATCCTTGATCAAGCTTAAGAAGTATGGAGATTCTTGGACTGTAACAATTAGTCCAAATCTGATCGTGGTTCTCTTCCAACCCATCGGCATACACGCGTTGCGTTCACTTGAGCCTGCTACGTTTTGCTGATGAAATCAGAGAGGATAAGGCGTAATGAGTTAGTTCAATAAATGTCTATGTGTATTAGTTTATCATAATTATTATGGTGTGATATCTGACTTTGTGGTGTTCGTCACTTCAAAGTCATGCCGAGGCATATTTCACACATTCTATTTTTTAATGATAACCGTAGAGAAGAGAATAGAAGCGAAGCGAGAAAGAGATCGTGATATACAAGTAGGCGGATTTTATAGTTATCGCTGCCAACAGTGTTTTCCAATAGTCTGTATTATTCTCACATATTTCAACATTTCAATATACTTTTTTGGCAACAGAATACTCGGTTTGCGTGCATTCCATTTCATGTCGTTTATTGTGTAAGCCATAATCACACACTGAAGACTGGTTAGATAATATAAAACTGTTAATATATACAAATAGCGGTTTTATCACTTAGAAATATACCTTTGCTTCCTTCTATTGCCCTCTGTTGTTACAGCAGTACCGAATTCTGAGAAAGTCTGCAGCTGTTTAGCCTCACTGTGATTAAATGAGTTACAGAATTATTTCAGATATGGAAATGTAGCAGAACATATTTCAGTGTTGGTGAGACAATTCATAAGATAGAGAGATAGAGAGGGAGCTAAAGAGAGACCCTGGTCAGATGTGATGTCCACTATATCAGAACTGAATTATTTACGGCCAATAAATATGTTTTTAGTGTGATTGGTGTCTAACTGCAACTGTTTCTACTCACGAAATCAATGTTCCAATCCTGTAGGCGGGAGTCATGCAAGCTATCGAAAATACTGATCGGATTATGGAGGAACTGAGTGACTTCAATGAAGACACATTATAATTCCACTCGACTTTTGACTGAATCACCGCTTTTCAAGTTGTCGAATTGCGAATAACGCCTATCTAAAACAAAGATTTGCATGGATTACCGCAACACCACATTGGAAACCTCACTATACGGGATAAATAGTGATTACTGGTGGTAGCTCGTATTTGGCATAAAGTATACTTTCGAAGTCGTAGAGACAGACCATGAATTGTTTTGTACTGAACTGTATACACGTTTTCGGTCTCCTTTTACTAGCCAGGCTGGGTAGTGTTCGCGAGCGCGTTTTTCAAGTCGGCGCATGGTACGGCCGATGTACTCAGCTCCACAAGAGCAAGTAATCTGGTATATGCACGTTGAGGTGGCCCAATGCGACGGCTTGTCTTTCACATTCTGGCTGAACAGTTTCTTGCAGGAAAACGTCAGTCGTAGACTCGCTGCGAAGTATGTTTTTCTTAGAGATTTGCCGAGACGTTTGCGAAGGATTTCTGCTTCGATATCACCTTTGAATTCTAGATTAAGCAGAAGTGTTTTCTTTGGAACGGATTGGACTTGTTCTGAAGTCTTAGTCTTAGATTTGAGATTTCTGTCTATGAACCTGGGCGGGAAACCGTTTTCCATCAAGGCTTTTCGGA